TATATATATATATATATATATATATATATGATATGAGATATTAGTTATTTTGTGGTGACATTTATTTTTCCCATCCTGAAAATGACGCTTGACTTCACTGCAACACCTCCCCTTCTGTACATTTGCCACCCATTTTATGACATCACCCTCAAGCCGCTGTAGTATGGCATAACAATCATTTACACAGACTGAACAAAGTCCAAAGGCATTTAAGAGCTGAAAAAACATTCTCACAAAAATTTTCTCTAATGCTTAAGTCCCGCTCCCCATCAGCTTCTGCCTCCTGCAGGTCAGCTGGTAGAAAAGAGTCTTTATCACAACCATATGAGCCTATTTATTGTCATTAACATGACTTGAAAAGTACATTTATGCTCTAATTAAAAGCAGCTATATCCTGTTCTGAATATCAATCTTTATATGGATGTAAATACATTAAAATCAGGATATTTAAACAGAATATATAAAACTCATTCTGTAAAGCTGCCTTTAACACTAGTTATCAATTCCTTACAGTTTTTTTTCATTCCTTTCTGCTCATTAGGATACTATGTCATGCTATTTTACTCTTCTCATGGTGCTTCCTCCTTGATGTCTGTTTGTTTTGTAATGTTTTACAGCTTCAGACCACAGCACTGTCCCACAGAGATGTTTTTGGACTTGTTAGTTCCACACTGTGAGTCCTTTAAAGGTTGAGTCGACCCATTGTCAGGAGGCCCAGTGTGACATCAATTAACAGGGAAAAAAATCGATCTGCTGAAAGGCTGTGAAGGAATGAGTGCAAACAGTGGAGGGCAGTAACATCTTCTACAGCTTCCATTTGGACTGTTCTATCAGTCCAAACTGCTAAAGCTGTATGGACATCATACTACAGATTGCTGGACATTATGTTCTTTATGAGCAGGTTAAAAAACAAACTCCAAACACTTTGTTCTTACCTTGGCAGCCATGACCATGGAGGACCCCCCTCTGATCCCAAGGATGGGAATGTGTGTCTGAGCAGAGATGAAATCCAGGATCTGAGCAATGGCCTCCTGATCCGTGTCATCACCGAACACTACGCCTTGTAGCGAGTTCCTCGTCATCTGTGCACAGATCCGATTGATGATGCTCTTTGGGTCCGTCTCATTCATGGTGACGACCTCAACTTTAGGGGGATACGGAATGTGGAGGAAATCCTCTTTTTCAAGTCCTGCACCCAGGGTTACTTCACTGGAGTTGCCCACCAGTATGACGGCAATACTGAGAGAGCTGATCAGTTTTGGGCTGATAGGAGGAAGTGCTGGTGACCCCGGAGAGTAATGAGGAGGGATAACAACCCCCCTCTGGTTTCCGCCTCCTCTCTGACCTCCTTGTCCACCTGAGGAACTTCCAGGCCCGGAACCTGGACCCCCACCTCTCCGGGACTCGCAGACGGGCAAGAGTATGGAGAGGAGGAGGAGAGATAAGGCCAAAGAGAGAAATCGCAGGTTGAGGCGGAACTGGGGGCGAGTATGATGGTACAACTGGTCTGAACAAGAAGGAGAGTGTTGAATTGAGGAGGGAGACACCAAACACTTGTCCTGAAGATGGGAGGGAGAAGGGTGGAGGCTGACAAGCATCGTGGAGGATTGTAAATGCCGTCCCTGCAGGGAGAGAAGAGAAAGACGTTAAGATCTGGAGAAAACTCTGCTTATCAGTTTTCCACAGTTAATGCAGGGGAAACAGATAGGAATCAAAGCTTGAGCAAATTTAAAAGCTGAATGGATTCCAGCGGGGTTCTGAAAAGTGACACATCACAACATACTGCCCATGCCTCAATGCATTGCAGCATCTTTGGTAGGGATCTCTATGGAGTGCAGTAGGTAGCGGTAACAGTAGCGGTTCTGGTTAACCATATTAGCAGATGCACCAAAGCGAAATAAATCCTATTAGCCTGAAAACATCAGGTGCAAAATGCACTCAGAAGCACTTTCTCTACTCTGACTGTAAGGAAAATATTGGAATATTGACACAAAATAAAACACCAAAATACATTAAGCTTACACCTTATACATCATATATCCTTTACTTTTAAGATGTTTATTTGTAAACACAGCTGATGTTAAGCATAAACAAATACAACCATTGAAACTACTATTGAAAATTAACAATTTTGTTCTATGAGGTAAATATAAAACAGACAATAACTGTGACTCTTGGATTACTATCAACCTTCACAGTGAGCAGGACTTTATTTCTCACAGCAACACTAAATCCATTGTGGGGTGGATGTGTGAGTCAGTTCAGATAGAGATGGGGTAGTACTGGGTGCATTTTGACAGATTGACAGCCTCACAGCGTCATGAACTCGCTGCTGGGCTAAGTGACCATTAGACACTCCAACAGAGCTGCGCTGACTTTCGCACTCATTTTTTTTCTCCGTCCTCCTTTTCTCCCACTTCCACTCTACTTTCACTGCTTTTCTGCCTCAAGAAAAACTGTTGACTTTCATTTCAGCCTCACACTAACAATTGTAACAAATAGGAGCAGCACATCAATGTGCTTGAGAAACATTGAAATTAGAAAAAAGACAATATGAGTGATAAAAGACAGAAAATCTAAATAAGGTGTTGCAGGTCCTGCAGCGTCTTAGGTGCAGAGGTCTTTTTTTGTGTCCCACAAACTCTTAGAGTTTGTGGGACACAAAAATATCAAAGCTCTGCAGGATTAAATAATATGTTGATGTATAATAAAGAATAAAGATTTCTATATATATATATATATTTCTACTCTGTATGATGGTGGAAGCGCATTAGTATAGGACATCTTAATAGCTCAGTATTCCTAATGTTTTCAGAAAAGTTGTTTGTTTGTTTTTTTTGTTTTTTTTTAGTTGTTGATGCAAGGATTGTGGAAAAGTCTTGCCCTTAAATTTTACCAAAATAGTTTCTTAGCCCAACTTCGAATTCATTAGATGTTGCTGGTGATTCTGTTCATAATCTAAATTCAGGAGTTCTTTTTAAGGATTCCTTAAAGGTATAGTGGGGGATGTTCTTTTTCTGGTTGGATCATCAAATAAACTGGTCCTCCTAATTGTCAATCATTCAGGTGATATATTTACGTAAGGCCGTCCTACGTGCTCGTCCCAATTTTCACTTACAGGTGATGAGTCTGACAAAGTGGAAACCTTGCAAATCTTCTTTTGGAAAGTAAGCTTGTATGAGCGATGCAAACAGCAACGTGCATGAGGAGAAATGGGCTTGTGCATGCTCTCCCACGTATTTAATAGGCGCTCCCTCTCGGGACCAGGTACAGAGTTGTGCATTTGCATTTTTTTTTGGGGTGGAGAGGGCGGGTCTTTTAAAAAAATTTGCCAAGATCCTCCACTATGCCATTAATGTAATAAAATGGGGCAGGCCTGTTATAGTCTAAGGCACATCTCACATAGGAGGCTTAATTTTGCCAACAGTGAATTGTTTAGAATACTCTAATTACTTTTTGTTTTAAATAGCAACTAATGACAGACGTTGTGACTTTTTCCATTATTGAAGATTTTGAAATGGCAATGAGAGGTACAACTCTCTCTGTAGTCTTTCCTCAGAGAGCAGCCTGCTGTGAGATCCTCCCACCTCCAAAGCTCCGACAGGGGGTAGTCTCAGCACCTCATCATAGAGCAAACCCTGCCTGCAATCAACCAACTCCAGTTTGTTTCCCAATTGAAAATGAATCATGCATGAGCAAATCTGCAGCTGATCGGGCCCTGGATTACAAAGCATGATGCAAATACAATGTCTATTTTTCTTTTCTCCAAAACTGAAAATAATTCCTGCATTTGGCCGACAAAGTCCAAGTCACTCATTCACCATGTTCACAGGGTGCGCCTCAGATAAATGCCTTTTGGTTAAACTTGAAAAAAGGTAGTGATGTAGTTTGGATCCTGGCAAAATATGAATGATTAATGAACATTATTGCCATGAATTTAGAGTAGATAACAGATTTAGTTTTTAATGAATTTCTGTTAGGCAACATTGTCATCTCGTAACTTCTAGCTACTTTAAGGGCATCCAAAAGTAACTTTCCTTGCTGACAAGTTGAACTCAGCGAGGGTTCAAGTTTAGACTCAACTTTATTTCACAAGAGCTCTAGAGCAGGCATCCCCAAACTCAGTCCTCGAGGGCCGCTGTCCTGCAGGTTTTAGATGTTTCTCTGCTCCAGCACAGCTGATTTTAATTGATAGTTGATTAACAGGCTTTTGCTCTACTGCAATCATTATAATCAGCTATGCTAAAGCAGAGAAACCTCTAAAACCTGCAGGACAGCGGCCCTCGAGGACCGAGTTTGGGGATGCCTGCTCTAGAGTAACTACAGACATTTATCCAACTTAAGTTAGCCGACAGCTGTCTGTAAGACCTCCTAAAAACAGCACAAAAGGTGGGCCTGCCCATCCTGTTCACATTTGATTGAGAACATCTTTTGAAAACCTAAATGTTAAAATTTAGGTTAAAAGTCCAAAATGAAATATTTTAAAGGTGCAACTTTTTGTATTACTTATGAAAAAAACTGTTAAACCTGCAATGATAAAACTGAAGGCAAACTCAAGGCAGCAAGACAAGTTAAAAAAATTCAATCAATAAAAAAAAAGGAACATTCTTAAACAAAGTACAAACAATAGTTTTAAGGAGTTTCTGATGAAAAGTATCAGTTAGTGATGACTTCTTGGAGGTATCTGTAAAGCAACGTTTTAAACCCCGTGTCAGTTTTCTGTTTTGCAGGGCTGCTCAAAATAAGAAAAAACATCGCAAAGTTGATATGCAATATAGTTATCTCACTTTATTTTTACTTCTATATAACACACAATCTTCACCCCTTGTCTCAACATCTCAGACACTACAACAACGTCAAATATTTGGCAACCTTTCAAATATTACAAATATTCCTTTACATTTGCAATATTGCCTATAATATGCATTGAATTGTTTTGTTTTAACAAGAAAAAGACAGAAACCATGAAAGGGTTATGAATGCTTTTGCAAGGCTGTCCAGCATGTTGTGTGTTTATACCAAGGTGTCCTCTCATTCAAGGTGAAATTAAAATCCAAATTCATTGCCCTCCACTATAATAGCCACCCCCTCCTAACCTCTTAGATCCATATGATGATCCTTGAAGACGATTGATAACCTCTTATTTCCCATTAAGATAAGTATTAACAGCTCATCGCTGAGTACAGGAAAGTGGAGAAGAGAAGGGAAAAAAACATGGAGGAAGAACAGAGGATAAAGATGAAAATATTCAAGCATGGAGAGCTGAAAAGCAGAGAGAAATACAATTAGTCATAACCTGATGCAAAAGATAACAGGGGAGAAACAGATTTGGGTATGTTTCCTGCTGAGATACGGATGAGAAATGAGAGTAAGTTCCTGCTCACTTTCTAAATTAAGAGTGGGGCATTTGAGCAAAGCGGTAAATAAAAGGCAGATGAAGAGGCTTGTCCCTCTTTGATTTCCAGAGATAATCCACCTATTCAAAGTTCTAAAAACCCAAGTGGCAAAAAGGAAAAGTTTTGATGGAAGTAAAAGAAAAATTGTGTGAAAAGGGGTGAGAGGAGGCCGAACAGAGTGGAGGAGACCTGATCTCCACATGAAAAAACACAGTCTCTCAAAACGGTCTAATTACCAGTGGTTTGTCAGGCTTAATTGCAGGTGCACATGCTAATTGTAAACGAGCCGAGTTCTCCGTGAGGACAGCAAAGAAGAAGAAGAAGAAAAGGCGCTAAGGAGGAGGAAGCGAGTGGGAGGAAGGCAGCAGAGAAAAGAGAAGAGGAGAGCGAAGAATAAATAGAGACATACACAAAAGAGATGGAGGTGGAGGAAAGAACAGCAATAAGGAAGCCAGAGAAGCGAAGGGAGGGAGAGCAAGAGGCAGGAGGTGTGGGGACGAAATGCAAGAAGAAAAGACGAAAAGAAAAAATTATTAGTACGAGAGGAGGGAGAAAAAAGGGTAGAGAGGAGGTTAAAAGAGAAGGAACGCAGGGGAATGGTGAAAAAGGCCTCAATCTGTGATGTTGATGAATAAAAAGCGAGCTGATGATCCACTCAGAGAGAGAGGAGCAGAGGGAAACTGTTCATAAAAAAATCTTTTAAAATCAGGCAAGAAGTGTGACAGCAGACGAGGCAGCAGAGAAAGGCTCATCAGGATAAAACAGCAGTGCTTGGTTTCCATAGTAACACTTCAAATATGCCTCCACATAAACACCCTGATGGACAGGAGGATGCACACAGCTCAACTCCTGCGGCTAACAACGCGACTTCTCCTAAACAACAACACACCGTCCGCTTCTGACCAGGGCGGCGTGTGGTGTCAGCTCCCCTCTGCACAAACACGCAGCCTTGTTACATGAGATAAATACAACAGGCAGGCGCACGGACACCCACGTACACATGTGTAAGCTGGGTTAATGCACTCCTGCAGATGGAGATGAGCTCTGTCTTTTGGTGTACTTCACATTAAAAATTCATCCATAAACCCAGCTACAGGCATATAAACAGCAGCAACACAATACAAGGAGCTGCTCAGAACACCGACAGCACTCACGGTTTAATGGCATTTCAATGCGTGGCGTCAAGGGTGGATTATTTACTCCTGGAAAACGGAATCCAG